CGATCTGGAATCTGGATTAAAGGAGCTTAGCAAGTCGCGTCGTCGAGACGCGAGGGAAGAGATTAAATAAAGCCGGAATAAATTATCCTCTCCCTTCGGCCCGATCCCTGCCCGTTCCACGGCTGGTCCCTCTTTGTCCCGCGGTTGGGACGGTTCGGAGGCAGTAGCCCGGTTAAACGACGGGAATTGAGGTAATTTCGTCGTACACTTTTCATGCAAACGACCGGCCACCGAAATCTTGCCGGACGTTCCAGGCGACGAAATTACACGGGGTATTAATCGCGAGAAATTAATTGCAAGAACGGAACGTTGTCGCCTGCATGATGGATTGCCAGCACTTTTTGGGAGTCGGGATTTGCTCGCAGAGGGGACGGTTGGATTATTTTCGTAGAGGATTTGGAGAATTGGTTGATGTAGGAATTTTGTTTCCATTTTCGATTTTTAAAGGAATTTTTAAGTCGAGGGGAAGCGAAGGTTTTTGTTCCAATTAAATTGGAATTTTTATTAAAATTTTGGTTTTTAAAGGAATTTTTAAGTCGAGGGGAAGCGAAGAATATTTTTGTTCGGATTAAATTGGAATTTTTATTGAAATTTATATTTTTATAGGAATTTTTAAGTCTCGCGGAAGCGAAGAATATTTTTGTTTGGATCAAATTGGAATTTTTATCGAAATCTTGGTTTTTAAAGGAATTTTTAAATTTCAGGAAAGTGAAGAATATTTTTGTTTGGATCAAATTGGAATTTTTATTGAAATTTTGGAGTCTCAGCGAGGCGTGAAATATGTTTATTTGGCTTGCATTTGAATTTCTGGTTCTTAAAGGAGTTTTTAATTTTTATGGAAATTTTGAAGCCTCGGAGAGGTGCGAAATATTTTTATTTGGTTTGGGTTTAAATTATTGTTCTTTAAAGGAATTTTTAAGTCTCAGGGAAGTGAAGAAGATTTTTGTTCGAATTGAATCGGAATTTTTATTGGAATTTTGCTTTTTAAAGGAATTTTTAAGTCGAGGGGAAGCGAAGAATATTTTTGTTCGGATTAAATTGAAATTTTTATTGAAATTTATATTTTTATAGGAATTTTTAAGTCTCGCGGAAGCGAAGAATATTTTTGTTTGGATCAAATTGGAATTTTTATCGAAATCTTGGTTTTTAAAGGAATTTTTAAATTTCAGGAAAGTGAAGAATATTTTTGTTTGGATCAAATTGGAATTTTTATTGAAATTTTGGAGTCTCAGCGAGGCGTGAAATATGTTTATTTGGCTTGCATTTGAATTTCTGGTTTTTAAAGGAGTTTTTAATTTTTATGGAAATTTTGAAGCCTCGGAGAGGTGCGAAATATTTTTATTTGGTTTGGGTTTAAATTATTGTTCTTTAAAGGAATGTTTGAGTCTCAGAGAAGTGAAGAAGATTTTTGTTCTGATTCAATTGTAATTTTTGTGGAAATTTTGAAGTTTTGATGAAATATAAAATACTTTCATTTGCTTCGAGTTTGAATGTTTCGTTTTTAAAGGAATATTTAATTTTTATAGAAATTTTGAAGCCTCGGTGAGGTGCGAAATATTTTTATTTCGAGTTTGAATTTTTGATTTTTGGCAAAATTTTGAAATCTTGGAAATATGAAGAATATTTTTGTTTATATTAAATAGTGAATTTTGTAGACATTTTAAAGTCTCAATAAAGCATAAAATATACACTTGTAATTTGTAGTTTGTAACTTCTACTTTAACTTGTAATTTAGCCTAAATTATCCGATTATTAGACTTTAGACATTTCGAATTTTTCTTCAAATTAGTTACGAGTTCGATGAAAGATTAATGCGTGCTCCGTTTAAAAATATAAATGCATCGATATATCATTTAAGAAAATTTACAATGTACTATTCACAGCCCATTACATAATTACATAGTTTATTTGCCATATTCAAACACGAATTATTCTAATTGTACGCTAATTATACGTGTACGTATGTAGAACTTGTAGAAGTAATTACAGTTGTTTATGCCTTAATAACTACCTTGCAATAGATTACATCAATCGGTACCTAAATACCTATATAATCTACATTAAATCCATCGATTACACAAAGTTACATAATCACATGTTTGTCAATTATATATCTTAAAATTATACTTTCGCTCCTTATCACATTTTTATCAATATATCTCCTTAATATAAATCCATAAATCCTAACCCATAAATCCATAAATTCATCAAACGACACTAAATTCGAAAAAAAAAAATAAAAATATTTTCCAAAGACCTATACAATCCATTAAAATTATACCCATTCATTACCATTTCTCAATATGAGAAATTTTCGAATACTCCAGTTTCTCGGAAATACAAAATAAAAATAAATAAAATATAGCAGTCAAAAATAAAATGAACTGAAACTAGGTAAAATGAAATATTACATGGTATTTTAAGGTAAAATAAAATGGAGAGAACAACGAATTAAAGTATCCTAAAATAAAATGAAATGAAAGGAGAAAAGGAAAATTAAATTGAATTAAATAAATAAATAAAAATCGTGGGAAGGTTCCAGTCGATTATTCCAATTCTGCATATATCCTCGAGCACAAAAGAAGTTATTAAGGCAGCATCAATGACGCTGCGCTCTTGTGGCTGGATCATCGATCGATAGATCCGCGAACGCGATAGATGACGTCCAGAATCCAGCCGACAAACGCCATGGCACCGCGTCGGGAAATGACAGACGTGTTATATTCATGAGACACCATTGTGCAATCTCCATAGCCACTTGTACTCGCGTTTTTCCATTCGATTGTCTTTATCACAACTCCTCTCTTTTTATTTTTTTATTATTTTTTCCAAACCTTCGCTGGGTATTTGATTATTCATCCGTTTCTCTCATTGCATATTAAAGGATTTGACAGGCGTTTGAATCGATAGGAAATCCTAACGCGATTGTTCCATTCAAAGGACAGATCTCTGAAGATTTTTAAAAATCTCAGAAATTTATTAAACTTTCGAATCTCTCTTGGAAAAAGAATTAAACCTCGAGGAGAACAAATTAATTTATTTGAACGATTGAAGGGATTTTAATTTATACAGAAAATCAGGATTTCAAAACACGAGTGGAAAAATTGGGAATTTTATCGAGGATCGTACAGTTCGATCTATAGATCGCTAAAATTATAAATGGCTCAGCTGTATTTTAGTTTCTGCATTTAATTTATTTATTTGCAGAATTTAAAGGATTTTAATTTATCCGGAAAATCAGAATTTCAAAACACGAGTGGAAAAATTAGAAATTTCATCGAGAATCGTACAGTTCGATCTATAGATCGCTATTATAAATGACTCGGTTGTACTTGATTTATTTATTCGAACGATATTCAACGATCGATAAAAGGATTTTAATTTATCTGGAAAATTAGGATTTCAAAACACGAATGGAAAAATTAGGAATTTCATCGAGGATCGTACAGTTCGATCTATAGATCGCTAAAATTATAAATGGCTCAGCTGTATTTTAGTTTATGCATTTAATTTATTTATTTGCAGAATTTAAAGGATTTTAATTTATCCGGAAAATCAGGATTTCAAATCACGAATGGAAAAATTAGAAATTTCATCGAAAATCGTACAGTTCGATCTATAGATCGCTATTATAAATGACTCGGTTGTACTTGATTTATTTATTCGAACGATATTCAACGATCGATAAAAGGATTTTAATTTATCTGGAAAATTAGGATTTCAAAACACGAGTGGAATAATTAGGAATTTTATCGAACATCGTACAGTTCGATTTATAGATCGTTATTATAAATGGCTCGGTTGCACTTGATTTATTTATTTGGACGATATTTAATGACCGATAAAAGAATTTTTTAATTTATTTGGAAAATCGAAATTTTGGAACGAGTGGAAAAATTCGGAGTCACGTCGAAGGATCGAGCAGTTCGATCTATAAATCGCCGGTCAGTGACGCACGAATTTTCGTCCCATACTCGTACGTTTCGATCAAGAAATTGCTCGCTCGCTGACCGGAAATGCGCACTCGCCGCCGGAAACGCACTTTTCGCGCTTCGATCTCTCCTCCAGCACACTGTTCGAACCTTCCGAACAATAGCACGCCAATTTTCTCTCGCTTAAACAGCGATTTGCACATTTCCAAAAATAAAAATTCGCGTTATTTTCAAAATTTTAACTCAATAAATTTTTTATTTTTTAATCACTATTACCCACCGGCAACTTTTTCACAGAAGATACAAATAATCCTGAAAAATTATTCATTTCCTCCAAAATTCCAGACTTTAATTTCAAAAATAATTTTTCCCAAATTTACCCAATTTTTATTCACAAATTTCGATTTTCCCTGAAATCTAATCCGTATATTACTATTTCCTATGCGCAAACGAAATAGTAGTTTCTCCTGTAAAGGAAAATTATACAGAATACCGTCTCCCCAATTTGAAAAAATTTTTGAAAATTTCGTACAATGTATAATGACAAATTTTTATATTCTAACTATATAATTCGACTCTCTTTCGACCCTGTCTAACTCCAGTCTTGGAAATTTCCTTTTGCAAACGAAGAATTCTCAAAATTCAATTTTTCTATCTGAAAAAAAATTTGTTCAAAGTTGATCCAATTTCTAACCACAAAATTTCGATTTTCAACCCAGTATATACGCCCCTACACTGCCTAAATTCCCCTATCATACCCAAATCCTCGATAATCGAACTCTACCAAACAAGTCATCAAAGTATACATCGATGACACACAGATAAGACAGTGGATCTAATGGACCTAACCTCAAAACCTCAGCGATCAGCAGCTCATAGAGACCTGTCCTGTGTACGATTTACAGCAGGATTTATCTGAAACAATGGTTTCGCACCCTGTCGCGAAACCTTCTCTATCCTATCCCAGCGAGAGAGGCGAGCTCTTTCCCGGCGATTTTCCCGGGAATCGCGAGATTTCCGCGAACTCGTGACGTCCCGCGTGCAAGAAGACTGAAGGCTGGTACTCACCAGTCGCGACTCCTTTCCAAGAAAAACCGTTCCCGATGGAGCCCGCGATGGAGGGCCTCTTCTCCGTTCCCGGTGGGAGCTTCTGGCGTTTCTGGCTTTTCTCAAGGTGCGCGCGCGCGCGCGTGCGTGTGTGCCCGGATCGAGAGATCCTGCCGCGGTGGATCCAGGATCGCGTGGCCGCTGTCAGGAAATTCGCACTCTCGCGGAGGAAGCTGATTCACCGCGCGCGCATTCCTCCTGTTATTTCAGGCGAGCCGAGTTATAAATCCTCCTCCTCTTCCTTCCACGCTGCTTCCATCTCCGACCGCGATCACCCCGGGTCGAAACGTTGAAACGATCCGAAAACGCGCACCTCACTATCGTCCTGTCCTCAGCCGCGGCTCTAACCGCGTCAGGCTAGGTTATCCAATCCCTGGAACCACCACCGTGTCCAGCTGAACACCTGTTCCACCCCCGGTTCCACTGCGTCACTGATCACGCCGACTCGCAGTCGCACTTCCGGCCACCTAACCCTCCAAACTAGCTTCACTGATCGTTAAAACCGGAAGATTAAAAGAGTCTATACGAAAGGTCCCGAATGGAAGCTTCCAAGATTCCTGCTCCTTCACTGGGCACCCTCTGACACCCTGATAGACCGTTCTTCCAGCTTGCCAGGTTGATCCCTGGCAATAGTGCACCAGATTCGACGTAAACCGACACTCTGAGAGGTCCTGGTGAGTCCGTAGGGTCAGTCCAGGTCTACAAAAGCGTCAGACCAAGTCAAGGAGGGTTGGGCCTAGTCGCGAGGGGTCAATCCAGGTCTCCAAGGTAGCTCCCAGAGGCGGTGTCATGGGCGAGACAGTGGATCGCGATTTCTCGGGCTGATTCTCGTTGCGATGGACAGTCGAGCGAGTCTATCCGACTGTCTGACTGACTGTGGCTGGCGTCGCGGCGACACTGACACGAGTACGCGGTCCGAGGCGAGAGGATGCGCTCGAGGAAAGCTCGGGGCGAAGTGCCAGAAGAGTCGTCGCTTGAAATAACCGCTCGTCCGCGGGCTCTCCCTCCGCCAACCCCCGTGGCCGCTCTCGTAGTTCCTCTCCCCACTCCACAGAGCTGGCTAGCTGCACCGGCTAAACTCTCGTCAGCCCCACTATGCTTGCTCTTTCTCTCTGTCCGTTTTGCGTACGCGACGTTGCTCCTCTAGCCGCGGCGTGTCGTTGTTGCGGGCCCTCCTCCCCCGCCCTGCCCATCTTTCTTATTCTTCTTATGATTCTTCTTCTAGTTGCTCGTGCTCGATCATGGTACGTGCTCGCGCGCGCACGTGCGGCCCCGTGTTTTCGCGCCATGAGCCGCAGACCCGCTGCAAGCTCGCGAGGATTTATCGCCGCGGCCGGAGGACGTGGCGATGATGGGGTGACCGGTGGTTGAGGTTAGGTTCAGCTCTTTCGGTTGCGCGCTTTTGTTCCATTGCGGGTTTTTCGTCGCGGGATTTGGGGCAAATAGATGGTGCGAAACAAGATGGTGGAAGAAAGGGCTGAGGAAACTCATTTGAGTGACGTTGGATAAGAAAATGGCCCATAGTATACAGTTTCGAGGAAGATTTGTTTGAAGGTTATGTTTAAGTTTTCTTTAGGAACAGTGTGGAGAATTTTCATTTTATTTGTTTTAATAAAGTTGATTTTAATCAAACATGTTAACTTGGAAATTTGAGGGTTATGTTCAATTAATGTTTATTGAGTTTCGACAATGGAAAGAGGGGGGGGGATTTTGGGGGAGGGGGAAGGGTCCATTTTTTTTGTTTTAATAAA